TAAAGTCGGAAAGCAAAGTCGGGCCCTTTGAGAGTCAGAGAAAGAGAGAAATTAGAAGAAAAAAATCCGGTTCAAAAATCCACAGTTGTCGTCGGTTGTCTCCCAGGCACGGCACGGAGAGCGCCCGTCCTAGAACGCATTGCGGAATCCCCGAAGGCGGCGCTGAGCTTCGGCCAAGCGGAAGGGGAGGAGGTGCCGGTCGAAGAGGTAGCGACGCGACGGAATCAGACGCGAATCGGCGCGGTAGCCCAGCTCATCGGCGACGTAGCGAACTTCAGCGTATGAACCGTCGGCCAGAGGATAACTGTGATATAAAGATAGGAGGTTTTAAAAAGTAGTTATCTGTATCATTTGGTTTTGATATAGAGTTAAAATGTAAATGTTGGGTGAGATATGGATTTCGTTTGTGGTTTGGGGAAAAGGGCCGAGTCGACAGTGTAATAAAGAATCTGTCAATATTAAATATATCTGGAATAGGAAAGCATTCACTTTTGTATGTTCCCGCGTGGACTCTGAACCTACGAAGAGCATCGCTGAGCTATCAGTAAATCACATTGCGTGTGCATAAATATTTTGCAGTTTAGTTTATTCTCAAATACCAATTCAACATCAAGGTTTGAACTATCTATCTCTTACCTATAGAACCCATTGATGTTGCTCTGCCCCCGATAGCCTGGAGTCCCACGCGCCGCGACATTGATCCCATTCTCAGTCAAAAATTCGTAGTTGAAGTTCCCATCGCCGAGGTCCTGGCGATGGCTCCTCAGGGTGGCGAGGGGGCGGGAGTAAGGTCGAGCCTGGGAGTCGAGTTGGTCGCCGTTCTGAGGGGCGGCGGCAACCATGGCAAGAACGGCGGCGGCAACGAGCTGAAATGGACAGTAGTTAGTAGTGGGAAAACCCGTTTTACACGAAATAGGTTATATTGAAAGGGGATATCCGGTATTGTTAGTGACAGCAAACTATTCTAGACAAAATAAGTTGATTGAAATGAGAAAATTCGACAATAGTTGGTGGTAAAAAACCCATTACGTATAAGATAAGAGTGGAAAGTAAGTATGGAAAACGCGATAATTAGTAAGGCTTTAGGAAACTTTTTTTCTTTTTCTTTTTTAAGCATAGTGTGTACATCTACATTTGGACAAAGAAGGTAGTATATTGACAATCAGTAATAATTAGTATAAGCATATCAGTTAATATGACCTAATAAAAAAAAAAAGTTCCAATATTCTTGATACAATATTTCCCCAGACACACAGACCAAGCCAAAGGATACTCACGAACTGCATCTTTCCGAGTTGGGTTGGCAAGATACTGTAGTCTGGAAGGTTTGGACGGGTCTATATATACCCCCCATCAGGCGCAGGAATATTTTTAATTTAGCTCTTTTTTATATATAAGAATCATCTCATTTTAGACTATGCCAAAATAGGTCAAGAGGTCGTGTGAGAAGGATATAGTGGTTTCTGAATGGGCGAGAGAGCAAGGGCAGTTGCAGACATTGTCGTATCAATGTTGACAGCTGTATTCGCGGAGACGATAGAAGGAGCCGCAGAGATAATCAAGAAGAAGAAACGTGGTGGTGTTTAATGGCGCTTAATCTTGAGTCATGGAGGAATTAGAATAGGTAATGGAAGGGGAAAATACGCATGCAAAATACTTTAGTTTTGATATATTGGTTTGTACCCGTGTTTTACCTACTTTGTTGTTTTAAAGGTTCGATATAAATGTCAGTTTTCCAGTCATTTAGACATCCTGCAATACTGTTAAATAAGGTAGAATAGGCTAAGATCTGGTTTGGTTATCTCTCATGAGAATATAGATTATCACGAGAGAAAACTATACATATTATCTGCTATTAACAAACTGTCATTCTTTATAACGAACATCATAATGAAATCGTGCGATGGTGATTTAAAATCCAGCGCTAACTTCTTTTTATGAAAAACAACGTCGGGGAACGAAAAATATTTTGAACACTTTGGTGTGTCTTTATATTGATAAAATCCAATACGGGTCGACTGGCAGCCATGAAAAAAGGTATTATGTAGATAGAATAAAGAAGAAAATTGTACAGAAAAAAAAAAAAAAAATCGTCAGTTGCTCGGGCATTTCCGGATTACAATAGTGTTATAATTTTGCTGGTTTACCGTCAGAGCAGCGTAAATTGACTCAAGTCAAGTGGAAACACGGAGTATGATATCAAGTTGAAAGTAATTATGGTTTCCGGAACTGATGAATTTAATGGTTAATATAAAGCATTTATTATAAAATTATTTTTCACGATTTTTGTTATATATCTTCTTACGTTGGCTTCTTTTTGACTTGTTGAAAAGCTGTCTAAGTGATAGTCTTTTAATAATTTTTGCGTTGAATCTTACGCTGTGAGAACTGAATTTTGTCGAGACTTAAAAGGAAAAACACAGTGATAAGATTAATAGAACTGTCATAAACTCATATATGTTGAAAAAGTTCCTGAAGATAGCTTGGTAGACCTTAGGAGGCAAACATGGCAAATGGCCTTTACATATTTTTTCATATACTGCACATCATTTTCCTGAATATAATGTTGTTCTTCACTATGGCCATTGTATAAAAGTACCAATTTTATAATACAAAATAAAATAAAAAACAGTTGAAAATGCATATGCATATTCATTCTCCACAGCAAAAACTAGATACTGGATTCGCTTTAAAGATCCCCAGAAATAAAATTAAAACTTTTACGGCGATAATCGTATGAATAATTTAATTATGTATATATGAAAAACACAGCATTCTGAAATGATTCAAAAACAGGTCTTGAAAAAAATGGGTAAATGGCCGTAATTGGGTTTATTATTAGACCCATTATTATTACTGATGTTATTTTAGCTATTATGACTGATATTATTGTCTGCATTCATTCTTTTATGCCATTTGTACAATAATTATTGCACTCACTTTATGCTATCACTATTGTTTTACTTAAAAAAAATGTATATACATGCACACACACACACACACACACACACACACACACATACACATACACATACACATACTCATACACATACACATACACATACACATACACATACACATATACACATACATACATACATATATATATATATATATATATATATATATATATATATATATATGTATGTATATATATATATGTATATATATTATATATATATATATATATATATATATATATATATATATATATGTATATATATATATATATATATATATATATATATATATATATATATATATATATATATGCATATATACACGTATGTAGACACACACACACACACACACACACATACACACACACACGCATATGTATATATATATATATATATATATATATATATATATATATATATATATATATATATGTATATATATATATAGACACACACACATACACACGCACATATATGTACATCATGTATGCGCACACACACACACACACACACACACACACACACACACACACACACACACACACACACACATATATATATATATATATATATATATATATATATATATATATATACATATGTTTGTATATGTGTGTGCGTGGGTGTGCACGCACACTCTTTGTCTCCCTTGCTTAACATCTTAACAAAGGTTGCCTTAAATGAACGTAATTAGGAAAAGGCGCAGGTATTATGGTGGTAAGAGAATATATGGGAAATAGAAGTGGATGAGGAAAATATGTTAGATTTCCGTCAATGAATACTGCTGAAGTCTATCTCATTAATACATAAGTGTTTTTGGTGGCTTTCTGATTTATCTATTACCTGCCACTTGGTCTATTTGAGGCATTTTTTTTCCAGGAAATTGTAGCTACCGACAGTGTTTTCAAGTTCATCTTATCGTCTATCACTTAGATCTAAGTAGATAACTGCGTTGTTAATAGGAATTTTGTCTTTAGACGGATTTAGCTGCCGCCAGTAGTATCAATGTAGCAGTTTCACGTTAGTTAAATGAGTACATCCAATCGGCTCTCCTTGAAGGTAGTATTCTGGTTGTTAATGTCAATATATATACCGTTGAGTCCTGTGACATTAACCAAGAGCTGCCACTGTTTAAAAAAAATGCGGCAATGTTGAGCATTTCTGTATATCTTCACTTCTAACATATCTTCTTTAAAGAAAGGAATCATCTGTACCAATAACTTGTGATTAGCAGACCACAGGTATACAACTGATACTTTTCCAAAGGTTGGCTGCCCCCTCCGAAGCAGTTATATACTGGTTGCAAATCCATGTTGTTTACATCGTTTGAGCTTGGTACGCATACGTCTTAGAATACGACTATCCGACCTACTCTCTCAATAACAGGGCGTTTAGGACCAGGATTCTTCAAGCGCAAAAATAGTGATCAGTGGTTAGCCTATATCATATGAAATGAAACCACAAATAAAGCAATTCACTAAATCTAATGGTTTATATAAAGCAGCATGAATATATGAATAAATATGAAATGCATATGAAAACAAATTGGACAGAGATGCAGTTGTGTTTGCGTCATTGCATATTGTTATTACTATAGGGGACAGTTTTCCTATAAATTATATATAATATTATACGTATATATTCACATATGTATATATTATTATTATTCTGTATTTTTTTTTTATCTTGTATGTCTGATATATTTGTGGCTTGGAGCAAAGGATTCTTTTGAGAAGTGCTAGGCTTCACATTGTTTATGCTGCACATGAGGATAATGTCAAAGTGAAGACTTAGCATGTTTTTTGTGTTGTCGTAGTTAGTATATATAATAATGTCTGTCTGTCTGTCTGTTTTTTGTGTTGTCGGAGTGAGTATATATAATAATGTCTGTCTGTCTGTTTTTTGTGTTGTCGGAGTGAGTATATATAATAATGTCTGTCTGTCTGGTTGGTTGTATGTGTGTGTGATACTACCAGCTGCAGATTAAGTGCAACTGATAGTATCTAGATTTCTTTGCATAGTTGTCTTTGTAGCTTTTTCATTATCGTTGCAGTATCTCCAGGATGTTAGGTCTGTTAGCATTATGTATCATATGCATCGTACTTAACATCAGCCGTTGAATGGCAGTTCCTCGAAAGACTAGGAAAAAGTAAAAAAAAGAAAAGAAAGGAAAAAGGGAGAAGTAAACGAAAAAAAAGAAGAGAAATAGGTAAAAGAAAAAGAAAAGGAAAAAGGAGAAATAGGAAAAGGAAAAAAGAAAAAAGAAAACGAAAACAAAAAATAAAATGAATAAGAAAAAAAAAGAGAAAACGAAAACGAAAGAAAAAGGAAAAGAAGAAAAGAAAAGAAAAGAAACGAAGTCGCAGGAGAAGAAAAAGAAAATGGTCGGCTGCGCAGCCTACACACCAACAGGTAAGCGCGTCGTGTTGTTGGCGTGATTCGGAACTTATGTGTATATGCACTCGAGCACAAAATCACAGAATATTGTCAGAATAATCTGAGAAAAATAATCAAGACAAAAAAAAAGTAAGACGTAAAGCTCTTTTGGAATCCCCAGCGATATTTGATAAAGTGTTACGATCCATTATGAAAGAAATGCTTATACTTATCGCCAGCTTTAACAGTTTAGTAAAGGTTGTGTGCAGACAAGATCTCCGCCATGTTGCGTAGGAGCATGATACGGCAATGGACAAACCAGTGGAAGGCCATGAGTGGAACCCTATGTCATGACACCAGTGTAATGTGACTCTATAGTGTCTTTGTAGTGTGAAAGGCCCCATGGAAAACATAGGTCGACTGAAATTCAAGGTAATGCATCGTATTTGGCTACGAGGCGAAACCATGCACTGTAAAAGCGGATTAAGAGATCCTGGTCTCAAGCTAACAATGTCTGGCATTAACATATAAAAGGATGGGATATGTAGATAGATAGATGACTAGATAGATGTACATTTGGAGAGACAAGACTGATGTATGCAGATTTAAATAAACGTGCAGATGGATAGATAAACACAGGTATATATATATATATATATATATATATATATATATATATATATATATGTACATATATTTATATGCAAATATATAAATATGCGCATATAAATATGTAGTACATATATTTATATGCAAATATATAAATATGCGCATATAAATATGTAGGTATATAGATATATAAACACACAAACACACACACACACACAAACACACACACACACACATATATATATATGAATATATATATATATATATATATATATATATGTATATATACATAAATATATATACACAGTACTGATAAAACTATTGAGACCAGCTATGCGTATCCATGTTTATTATTTGAGGTAGATGATTCTCTGTAGCATTTAAATTTCGCTAAATTAGCCTAAAAAAACAAAAACAAAAAAACTACCAAATTTCCAGTAGTTTCATAGCATTCCCTCGTTCCTTACAAGGTGTCAAAATTGACATGTGACCCTTAACACTGGTTCCTGACTTCCGGTTTTCGGGTTTCCTTCTCATAATACGTTCAATTACATGCACTGCCACTGACTAAACCTAGCTGCTCTTCTCTTGTGCAAATCGAACCAAGACTGCCTACTGATAAACCATGGCTGGAGGAAAGGATCTGAATCGAGCGGATTTTTCTGCTTTTGAAGTTTATCTCCAAGGAGCGTCTCTAAGCCAACGGGAAATGGCCTAGAAAATGGATGTTCCAAAACATCAGTTATAAAAGTGAAAGGAAAACCTGATGATTTAGTTACAAAATATTACATCTAATACGATGTTTATGTTAGGTTCAAAAGCGAGATCAGAAAAAGTTCATGTTGGAGATAGACTTCAAGAAGGTTTTATTCGAATGTTCAAGTCATCTCGATACCTTTGTTATTTTTATATGCAGGTTTGTTTCTCTGATGAGTCTAAGGTAGAAATACTGATAGACAGACGAAAATTTGTTAGAAGAACCGTCTTAGAGAAGGACCACTCCGACTCTCAGAGAGCACAAGTAAAATCCCTACCAAGACGATAATGTGATCTGGAAGATTAGACTGAAGAAAAAAATAATCTAAATAAAATTGGATATTGTGGCATCATTGATAGATGTCTTCTGCCCCAACTTCGTGAATGGTTCCCATATAAATGACTGCATTTTCATTCATGATGGAGCTCCCTGCCACACAATCAAGGGGTTAAAACCCATTTGGATAAATCGTGGTATCAGAGTGCTTGATTGACCTGGATAAAGTCGAGATTGAAATCCTACAGACTTATGTAAAGACATGAAAGACGAGATAAGCCAAGAAGAATGTACTAACAGAGTTGATAAAGGTGTGACATAAAAAAAACAAAAAAAAGGCATGCCAAGACGTGTTGCAGCAGTGATTAAGGCTAAGGGTGGCTATTCTGGTTATTAATATCATGTCTTTAATAATATACGCAAATAAGATTAGGTTGGTTTCATGGGATACATATTCTACCAAAAATGCCGTTGGTCTGAATAATTGTGTCTGTAATTACACACACACACGCACACACAAACACACACACACACAAACACACACACACACACACACACACACACACACACACACACACACACACACACACACACACACACACACACATATATATATATACACACGAACCTACATGTGATTATAGAAATTCAGCAAAATGTCTATGTGTTAGTGTGTCTGCTTCTGTCTACATAAATGTCTTCCTTTACGTCAGTATGGAAAGACACGCACATCCGTAATATTGCACAAGATTCAGTCCTGTTAGGCCATTTCCTTTATCAGGCGCTCGATGTCCCTCATTATTTGCTAATTATTATGTTCTTCCTACTACTATAAAGATAATAGATAATATATGGAAACTAAATCGCAGGATCTCAAAACATGTACAATATCATGACATCTTCTTGCAGACCTTAAACATTGGTTACATTTTCAAGTTATGAGTATGTACACTTGGCCGACCTCTTTCTCTTCACTCTCTCATTCACAGTATTCTTGTATAAATCGCGTCTAAATTCGCACTTCGGAGTAGCGTGGGATTGAAATAAAAGTGTCAAAACTTCCACAGAGAAAAGAGAGTGTAGGGTACACTTTCAGAAATCAAAATCGGTGTGTTTATATATGAACACACACACACACACACACACACAAACACACACACACACACACACACACACACACACACACACACACACACACACACAAACACACACACACACAAACACACACACACACACACACACACACACACACATGTATACATTTATGTGTGTGTGTGTATACCTTCGTATGTGTATATTTTTGTCGACCTGTGTAGGCTTGTGAACCCCGAATCTTATTCTGAAAATATATGTCTGTTCATTGTATATGCCATATTGCAATAGGTAAATTATATCAATCGGATGATCCTCTTCATTTTATTTGCCAAAACTGTACAAGAACGAGCGAAGTTAGGTAGGAATGTTAAATGTTTTCATTTTTGCGCGTCAAGTTATGAAAATATAAATACTGAATACTGCATGCTTAAGATCAATGTGAATTTGGGGAAAAAAAGAAAATATTAGTAAAATCCTTTCGAAAAATCATATTTCGCGACTCAGTCTAACAGCACTGTAGGCCGTTATCATCTCTCAAATTCTGATAAAGTAACCCATTTTAATAGGTGATTCCTCGACGCCTTTGTTCTTCAGCAAAGCGGATCTGCTCGATGGCGTGGGCGGGGAGGGGGTGTGGGGTGGGGATGAGGGGGGACTCGGCGCGGAATCCGAACTCGTCGGCGATGTAGCGAACCTCGGCGAAGGTACCGTCCTCGAGGGGGAACCTGGGGTAAAAAGAACATGTATTGCAAGAGATATGCAAATGCAAGCACAAAAATCCCCCCCCCCCCGCTACACCCACCCATACACCAAAAAAGTCCAAATAAATATATAGAGACACAAACGAAAGTATACACATGAATACGTAGTATGAACATTACCTCCCCTGCAAAAGTGCTATCCTTTCTCGATAACAGTGCAATACCAGACACCGAAAACTTTTACCATTTGCATGATTAGAAAATTAACTACCCCAATTAAAAAAAAAAAAAATCCGCTTTATTTAATATGAAATCACCTGAAAATTATAAAGCACACTGTCATTTCCAAAAGTGTCTTTAGTCGGTCAGTATAAAAGAGTAGAAGCAGTCTGTAGTATAGTTGCCTTTCCAAAATGCCTTGTTAAAGTGAGAGAGAGTTTGTGGTTACAATTTTTGTCCAAACTTTTCACTGACGAAGAATGCAAACTCTGTGCTAGTTTCTAAGCTAAATTTATTCTGTTCCTTTGTTCAGAGGTGCAAAAGAAGTTGCCATACTCTTTCAAATGTCGGAACACGAAGGCCAGTCTTCTGTAACGAACGACCCATCACTATTGGGCAAACCCTTACTCATGTGATAAATCCTCTAAATCTCTTAACCTTTCAACTGTGCCTCATCCTCTTCACCTCTGACACAAGTGATAGTCGCAATGCTAAGAGAAATATGCAGAGCCGTTGTTCCCACAGAACATTTGCGAATTGTTTAAAACACAATGCTTTTTAGCACAATTACCACATCCTTTGTAATACACTTTTGTATTTTTCAAAATAAAATGTTAACATGTTTCTGATATTAGATGTCTTATAGAAACACGCGGGCACTTCACAGATAATCATTCTTTGCAAATGAACGTCCCAACATTAATCCTGTTACACTACAAAGTACAAGAACGCATTATTTATACAAATGAAAAACAACAACAACAAAAAACACACCTATAGTATCCTTCGATGTTGCTCTGGCCCTTCGACCCCGGTGTTCCGCGCGCATTCACGTTGATGCCATTCTCGGTCTCGAACTGGTAGTTAAAGTTGCCATCGCCGAAGTCCTGACGATCGTCCCTCAGGATGGCGATGGGACGGTAGTTTACGCGATCCCGGCGGTCGAACTGATTGCCATACTGGTTGCCGAACTGGGGCGCGGCGACGGCAACGGCAACGAGAGCGGC